TTTGGTTGCAGCCATCATTGTTGTTTGGCGGGCCCGGGCATTCGAACCCGCCACCTTAGGTGTATGTGGCTGGCGCCTTAGCCGCTTGAGCCACACCTTTGCTTATTGAGCAGGATCCTCATGGTGTGAACTGAACCCCACTCTAAGTATGTGGTCTGCAGGTTGCCCAGGTCCCCACTTCACAAATAGCCCAAAGCATGAAGCAGACAGCTGCAGCCCTCCAAGCTCTCTCCTCCATTTATAGTCAGCCCCCCAGCTCCGGCCATAACTGCCCTGTCTCCTGGCTGTCATCACGTTCTAACAGCCTTCCTGGAGTGAAATTCACCATCTGTGAATGTGCGTAATCCAATGAGTGTGGTGAATTTGTTTGGTGAGGCAGCCATCACCACAGTGCAGTTTTAGCACCTTCCCTCCTAGAATGGTCCTTGGTGCTTGGGTATAATGGGCCCCACCCCTGACCTAGGCAACCACAAACTATTTGTACCCATAGATTTTCTTTTTTTGTTTTGTTTTTGGAGACAGTCTCATTCTGTACCCCAGGCTAAAGTGCCATGGTGTCAGAGGTGACACGATCTCAAATTCCCGGGGTCACGTGATCCTCCTGCCTCAGCCTTCTGAGTAGCTGGGACTACAGGCACCTTCCACATCATCCAGCCATTTGTTTTTTGTTTTGTTTGTTTTATTGTAGAGATAAGGTCTGGGCTGTGTTGCCCAGGCTGGTCTCAAACTCTTGGCCTCAAATGATCCTTTGCAGGAGGGTCCCATTCTGATGACTGCTTTGGCTAGATCTACATGGTCTGCAAGCAGCTCTCCTGATCATGGGTGACATCCTCACAGGACATTTGGACACTGAATCTGGCCCCTGCTCTCCCCGTGCGCATACACACCCCCATCTTAACCACTCTCCATGTCCCTTCTCACTTGCTGGTGTTGCACTCCGCCCCCCCCCCCACCATGGCACCAGCAAGGCCTTGGTGCTCCTATACTGGGTACAGTGGTATCTTTGTTGGGTGGTCACTGGACAAGCCATGTCCAGCCAGCCCACAAAGTTCTAACCCTTCACACTGTGGCCTAAGATCCATCTGTGTGCCGTGGGCTAGTGGCCCCTCTGGTGGTGATTCATGTTGGAGCATCATCATGCACACACCTGTGTCTGATCAGCAGCCTTCAGAGGGATTGGGAAGATAATTTTTGGAGGTGCCAGAAGATAGAGGATTCAGTTTGGGTGTAAGAGGGTCCTGGAGGTGCATGGCACTGACAGTGGCACCACATTAGGAATATACTTAATGCCACCACACTTAAAAATGGTTAAGATGGCAAATTTTATCTTATATTTTACAGTTTTCAATATGTTTTAAAGAAAAAGAAGATGAAAGAAATTTGGCAACAAAAAATAACAGGATTTGTTTTGTAGAATCTTGTGCCCTTAAACCTGAAACTTCCAACCTAATTTTTTTCCTTTGAATTTCAGGTCACAAGAAGACCAGATTAAGAATGCTAGTGATAAACTTTTTGTGTTGTTTGGAGCAGAAATACTAAAGAAGATTCCAGGCCGTGTATCCACAGAGGTTGATGCAAGGTAAGGATGCTTCCTCACACCAGATAGTCCCAGATGTGGAGGCCCCTGTGGGGTGTCAGGAATCTGCTCTCTCCAAGCACCAGTCAGCAGCAATGCCTGGAGCTCCCTTATAGCGAATGATGTCTAGTCTGTGTTTTTGAATAAAATCACAGCCTGCAGCTCCCACTAAAGAATCTTATGGGAGTGGGTTCCAAGTTTGTTGAGAGCCACTCTGCACATCTCAAGGGCAAGGGGAGGCAGGCGGGAATGTGCGCAGAGCTGACTCAGGCAGACGCCCTGCTCCCGGCTTCCAGGATCTGAGAGGATGGGGTCCCTTTGCTCTCACAGGCTTTCCTTCGATAAGGATGCGATGGTGGCCAGAGCCCGGCGCCTCATAGAGCTCTACAAAGAAGCTGGAATCAGCAAGGACAGAATTCTTATAAAGCTGTCGTCAACCTGGGAAGGGATTCAGGCTGGAAAGTGAGTGTCCTGCCCAACTAGGGCTGCCTGAGATTCTGCCTCCATTCTGGAGGGACAGGCCACATGGAACCATAGCCAGGCAGAGGGGGGAGCATGGCCCCTGGCTTGGACAGGGCTGGGCTGATGTCAGCCCAGGTCTGCCCTCTGCTCTGGGCCAGTCATTTGCCTGTCTGTATTTAGAAACAAGGGCTTCCCAGAAATAGTCCCACAAGGTAACCCTGCATAGTTTGACTTTCATTCCAATCCTAATCCATCCAGGCCTAAGTTTACATGGTGTTCAGAATGTAAACTATTATTACACAAAACACATGCTCAGAGTAGAAGAGATGAAATGTAAAAACAGAAGGGGATGTAAAGGCTCGGCACCTGTGGCTCAAGCGGCTAAGGCGCCAGCCACATACACCTAAGGTGGCGAGTTCGAATCCAGCCCAGGCCCGCCAAACAACAATAATGGCTGCAACCAAAAAAATAGCCAGGCGTTGTGGCCGGCGCCTGTGGTCCCAGCTACTTGGGAGGCTGAGACAGGAGACTCGCTTGAGCCCAGGAGTTAGAGGTTGCTGTGAGCAGTGAAGCCATGGCACTCTACCCAGGGGGATAGCTTGAGGCTCTGTTTCAAAAAATAAAAAATAAAAAAATAAGGGGATGTAAAAACAGGGCACTGGCCCCATATACCAGAGGTGGCAGGTTCAAACCCAGCCCTGGCCAAAAACTGCAAAAAAAAAGTAAAAACAGCAAAATTCCTATGAAGTTCTCAGCAGGTACCTGCAGCAGCTGCCCCTGCCTGAACCTGCCCAAGGGTTTGTTTCACCCAGGCCCGGCCACAGTCACTGAGCCACTCCCCACAGTTCTGCCCATTCTAGACATTTCACCTGAACAGATCGCGTGGTGTGGCTCTGTGTCTCCGGTCTCTCCCCCGTGGTGCATCTTCAGGCTTCCTCCCCACTATGGCCTCTGTCTGCTGCTTCACTCCCCAAGGCAGGATGCCACTCCCTGGTATGGACAGGCCATACTGATCCTTGTCTGCTGCTGGACACGTGCTGGTTTCCTTTTTTTTTTTTGAGACAGAGTCTCACTCTGTCGCCCTCAGTAGAATGCTGTGGTATTGCTCACAGCCACCTCCAGCTCTTGGGCTTAAGTGATTCTCTTGCCTCAGCCTCCTGAGTAGCTGGGACTACAGGCTCCCACCATAGCACCCAGCTATTTTTTTGTTGCAGTTTGGCCAGGGCTGGGTTCGAATCCACCACCCTCGGTATTTGGAGCCCGTGCTCTACTCACTGAGCCACAGGCGCCGCCAGCTGATTTCCTTCTTTTGAACTGTAATGAGCAGCACTGCCACGAGCGTGGGTGTATGGGTTTTGGTGTGGACAAGCATTTTGTTTCTCGTGGGCCTGTACTAAGGGGTGGGGTTGCTGAATCTCGTGGCATCTGTGTCTGACTATTGGAGGAGCCAGAGCTCCTGTCCCCCACCTCGGCCATGCTGTCTGCCGATGCCCAGCCCGCTGGGAGCATCGCAGCTGCGTGGACACCCCACCCCACTTTCTGTGGCCATGTGGCAGTGCCACCTCTAAATCTGGCTCCTAGGCAGGGAACTTGCAGCTGGAGGGGCTGAGCAGAGGCCTGGCCATCTCAGCCCATGTCCCAGCCACGTGGCAGAGTATGGTGCTGCCCTGTCCTTAAGCAGAGACCTGGCTGTGTCAGCCCATGTCCCAGCCACGTGGCAGAGTATGGTGCTGCCCTGTCCTTGGGGATCAACCCCATGTTGGAAGTGGAATGGGAATGGGAGGGCTTGCAGCCGAGGCTAGGGCAGCCCTGGGAAGGATCCGGGAGGGGCTGGTACAAAAGTGTGGGCACTTCCTTGCCTCTGTCTCTGTTCTGTAATGCTGTGAAGGTTCCAGTCGCCCATAATCATTGTCCAGATGCAGCCCTGTCAGGCCTCCCAGATTTGTCCCTAATGACATTGTCAAGACTGTACTCCTGGTTTTTCAATTAAGACACCATGATCCTTTTTTGAGATATGCAGGAGGGCCCGTGGCCCTGGGTGGGCACGCCAGCCGGGACTCACTGTCCTGTCCCCGCAGGGAGCTGGAGGAGCAGCACGGTATCCACTGCAACATGACACTGCTCTTCTCCTTCGCCCAGGCCGTGGCCTGCGCTGAGGCAGGCGTCACACTCATCTCCCCCTTTGTGGGGCGAATCCTTGATTGGCATGTGGCAAACACAGACAGGAAGTCCTATGAGCCCCTGGAAGACCCTGGTGAGATGCCCTTTGAGGTCATGGAGAGGGGAGTAGCCTTAGTCAGGACTGCCTCAGAGGGCAGTGTGTGCATCCACGTGAGGCATGGATGGGGCAGTGCAGGGCCAGGTGGGACACAGGGTCAGGGTAGGTGTGGAAGGCTGTGGTTTGTGTCACCCGGGGGCTGTAGGGTCAGCAGGGATGGTTGCTGATGGCAGCACACTGGAGGGAAGACAACTCTGTGCAAGCCACCCTGGACACAGCTCTTGTCTCCTCCCAGGGGTGAAGAGTGTCACCAAAATCTATAACTACTATAAGAAGTTTGGTTACAAAACCATCGTCATGGGTGCCTCCTTCCGCAACACGGGGGAGATCAAGGCACTGGCTGGCTGTGACTTCCTCACCATCTCACCCAAGCTCCTGGGAGAGCTGCTCAAGGACAGCACCAAGCTGGCACCTGTACTCTCAGCTAAGGCAGGTGAGGCCCCAGTGCCCAGCCCTGGCTGCTGCTTGGGCCAGGCTGGGCAGTCCTGCTGCTCTATCCTGCAGAGACACTGTGAACCATACCTTGGGAGAGAGATGGGTGGTGTGGGGCTCAGCCAAGGGCTTGATCTTCCTTTCAAGTTTTACCAGGTCTTTGGCTGAGGCATAGGAGCCCAAGTCCAACAGGAGCCTGCAGGGCGGGGGCGGGCCGGTTCACAGGGTGGGTGTAGCAGGGTTATGGTTCGTGTCCACGTAGCCCAGGCCAGTGACCTGGAGAAGATCCACTTGGACGAGAAAGCCTTCCGCTGGCTGCACAATGAGGACCAGATGGCTGTGGAGAAGCTCTCCGACGGGATCCGCAAGTTTGCCGCTGATTCTGCGAAGCTGGAGCAGGTGCTGAGGGTGAGTGTACTGCCAGGCGGCCACAAGCGTAAGCTGGCAGAGTTGCAGCTTTTTGTGGGACCCTGGGTCTTATTCACATGCCACTGGCAAGAGGCCTGCAGAGGCCATCCTCAGCTGAGGGGTGTGCCAGGGACTCCCAGTGGGTCCTGGGTCCTGTCTGGCCTGGTGGTGACTGTGGCTGGTCCCATACATAGTGTGGTCCTGGCAGGGGCTGACATGTGACTGAGGCTCTGATCATTTCAGGAGCAGATGTTTGGCACAGAGAATGGGAAGTAGTGCACACCTAGCTGTGCCCAGCTCCACTGCCTACCGGAGGTCTCACTGTACCTGGCTTGCGATGAATCTTTTTTTACCAATTGGAGCAGGAACGGATCATAAATCTCTGATTTCATGTAAAATCTTGCCCAGTGCATTAAAGCAGTCCTTTTTCCTGTGCTGTTTCAGTTTGCTGTTCTCATCGTCCCTTCTGTCCCCTCAGCACTGACCCCAGCTTTGACCTGAGTGGACACTGGGAGACAGCTGGTCAGGGTGCCTCAGGCACCTACAGGGTACGGGGTGTGTATGTGCAGGGGTTGGGCCTCTGATGCCGCAGGCTCCCGTGGCCCTGACCTAGGAAGGTCATAGACGCATCAGCCCTCTGAAGGTGGCCAATGCAGACTCCTAGCCGAGAGGGGCTGCCCCAGGGGACCCTCCCTTGTGCTTACCAGCATCTGGGACACAGGCTCCTGTGTGGGGAGGTGGCACAACCTTGGGGACCGGTGGGGCCAGTTTTGAAATGGATAGTCATTGCACCCCTTGGACTTTGTGTGTCAAAGGCTTGATGCAGCACAGTGAAGGTGGCTTATGAGGTGGCCTCACTTCCTAGCAGCACTACAGGGCAAATGGCGGGGTCAGAGCCATGCATAGCCCAGGTCAGAGTTTTTGGGAGTCCAGCCCCACAGTTGTGTATGTAAGGTCAGAGTCCAGGGAGTACCCCTACCTGGGTCAGCAAGTGGCCTGAGCCACCCCTGGGTCACACCCTCCTCCCCTACCTAGGAGCCCCTGCCAGGCACAGGCTCCTGCATCTCACATCTTTGCAGGTCAGCCCTGTCTGGCTCTAGGGACACTGGGCTCTGGTGAGGGAGGGCCCTTTAAGCCCCTACTTGCTGGGGTCAGAGCAGCTTCCTGACCCCCTACCTTCAGCCCATCCAGGGTGCTGACAAGGGACAGCTTTTGGGTCAGGATGGTGCTGAGGTGGCCAAAGCCCCTGGACCAGGACCTGTGAAAAGCACTTGAGTCCAAGAGTCCAGTGGGCAGCACCTGTGCCCTACCCTCCCCTCAGCAGCCTCCCAGGAGCCCCTGGTCCCCTGAGCTGTTCCACAGACTGTCCTAAGAGACCATTAAGGGTCTTGTGGTTCCTAGTCTTGCCAGCATTGATATCCCAGACAGACTCACAGCTCAGTGTCTCTGGGGATGGAGGCTGGGTTCCGTATGAAACTGACTCTGGATGTACTTAGAAACATCATGCTCACCACTAAGTACAGGATTCAATGATCTTAGTGCTTAGGGATTTTGTAGGCCAGGCATAGTGGCCCACACCTACAGTCCTAGCACTCTGGGAGACTGAGGCAGGAGGATTGCTTGAACCCGAGTTTAAGGTTGCTATGAGCTAAACTGACACCATGGCACTCCTTCCTGGGGCAAGAGAGAGAGACTGTCTCAAAGTTTTTCCACCATCCCCATCTTTTGCTCCTACTTCCTTTGTAGAGACAGGGTCTCACTTCATTGCTCAGGCTGGTTTTTATCTCCTGGCCTCACCAGCCTCCCTTCTCAACCTGCCAAGATGTTGGGATTACAAATGTAAACCACCTCTCCAGGCATACCACCTTCTAAATTGAGAGTACTTTTTTTTTGAGCCAGGGAGTTTCACTTTGCAGTCGTCCCCCCGCCCCCCGCAGAGTGCTCTAAGCCTTAAATTTGTGTAGATCACCATCATTTTCCCCAGCATTGTTCCCATCAACTATCAACTAGGTTGGGGGTTCGAGGTAAACCCTGACACAGCATCTTAAAAGACTTTTTTCTTTTTTTTTTTTGAGACAGTCTCACTTTATCACCCTCAGTAGAGTGCTATGGTGTCACAGCTCATAGCAACCTCCAATTCCTGGGCTTAGGCGATTCTCTTGCCTCAGCCTCCTGAGTAGCTGGGACTATAGGTGCCCACCACAACGCCCAGCTATTTTTTTGTTGCAGTTTGGCTGAGGCTGGGTTTGAACCTGCCACCCTTGGTATATGGGGCCAGCACCTTGCTCATTGAGCCACAGGCACTGCCCTTAAGACTTTTTTCAAAATCTTTTTTTTTTTTTTTTTTTTTTGGTAGAGACAAAGTCTCATTTTATTGCCCTCGGTAGAGTGCCGTGGTGTCACACAGTTCACAGCAACCTCCAACTCATGGGCTTAGGCGATTCTCTTGCCTCAGCCTCCCAAGTAGCTGTGACTACAGGCACCCGGCTATTTTGTTGTTGTTGCAGTTCAGCTGGGGCTGGGTTTGAACCCACTACTCCATATACGGGGCTGGCGCCCTACTCACTGAGCTACAGGTGCTGCCCAAAATCTTTTTTTTTTTTTGAGACCCTCAGTAGAGTACTATGACATCACAACTCACAGCAACCTCACACTCTTGGGCTTAAGCAATTCTCTTGCCTCAGCCTCCCAAGTAGGTGGGACTACAGGTGCCCACCACAACACCCAACTATTTTTAGACAGGGTCTCGCTCTGGCTCAGGCTGGTCTTGAACCTGTCAGCTCAGGCAATCCACCCGCCTCAGGTGCTAGCACTACAGGTGTGAGCCACCATGCCCAGCCTCCTTGGTCCCTTATGGCCAATACTACTACCCTGTATAGATACCAGGATCACTCATGAACATTTATATTGATATCCCACCATATGGAAATAATTTATTCACTCACTATTGTGAACTTTTATATATCCTTTCATGTACCATATTTACAGGGTTGGATTTTTTTTATTCAACACACATGGGGCATATGGGGAAACCCTCACCCACCCAACTGCCACTTTGGGGGCTTATTCCTTTGCTATTCTCTTCCCTGCCTGGTGCCCTGGAGAGGACTGAGCATAGTGGGGAGGCCCTTGGAGCAGGCCCAGAACCTTGCACATGGCTGCAGAAGGAAGAGAATTGAGGGCAGCTTGCCCAGGTCAGCCCTCACCTCTTCACACACATGCCTTGACCTGAGCTGCTGAGCCCACCAGAGGCGCTCAGCAAACATTAGGTCTGCAACCTCTGTTATGGTCTGGATGTCTGTGTCTCTCCGAAATTCGTATGCCAAGATCCCCAGCCCTAAGTTCACAGGGTGGAGTCCTTAGGTGTGAGACTAACACCAGTGTCTCCATCTTGGGCTTCCAGCCTCCAAAACCACAAGAAACATTACTGTTGTTCATAAGTCACCCGGTTTATGGCACTTTTTTTTTCCGGTTTTTGGCCAGGGCTGGGTTTGAACCCGCCACCTCTGGCATATGGGGCCAACACCTTACTCCTTTGAGCCACAGGCGTCACCCAATATGGCATTTTTGTGTGTGAGCCTGAATGGACTGAGACATTAAGTCATGATCTCAAACTTTTAAATACAGAAGTTTTTGTACAGAGACATCCCCACACTAGGAAAAGAGCAGACCTGGGGCAGACTGAGGCTGGTGGCCAAGTGTTGTATGAGCAGACTTGTAGGCGTGGCTTGCTGGAGGCTGGTGGGAAGTGGCCTTCGAGGTGGGGCTGTGCCTTGCTTCCTTCTTCCACTCTGTTCTGAACTTTCCTTACTGAACAGTTTTATAATCAGTTTTATAATCACCAGGGGCCTCCTGCCAGGCCCTAGCAGATGCCCAGGGCTGGAGGACAGACTGAGATGGGGAGGTAGGCAGAAGGGTGAAGGCACAAACTCAGGGTGGCCTGAGCCACCTGAGAGCCAGTGGGCAGACCCCTGGAGGGCCCTAGCCCAGTCCAGGCATCCCAGGAGGCTGACGGTGATGAGCAGCACCTAGGAGGGAAGCAGGTCCCCAGAAAGGGCTGCCTAGGGTCTGAGAGGCAGGGACCCCTACCACCCCTGCTCCACAAGGGGTGCTCGCACCCACCTGTGCCAGCTCCCTCCAAGTGGACCATGCAAGACAGCAGCTGCCTCTGGCCAGAACCGTAGAAAGCAACACTTTCTGGAGAGCCCCACAGGTGTGATACTGACAAAAGTGACCTTTGCTCAGTGTTTACACAGGATGGGACAATATCTGAGGAGCTTAGATGAGTCCCCATTGCCTTCAGATCATCCTGGAGCTTAGATGGGGTCCCCATTGTTTTCTGAACCCCACACCAGGCAGGGCTTGAGTGGACAGGAGGCTGCAACTACCAGAAGTTTCCCTGCTCACCTTAGGCCAGGATAAGTTCTGCTCCACCACCCAAAAAACCCAACAGCTAAAAGGTGGTAGGCAGCAAGCAGGCCATAGCAGGGTAAGTGCCCACCCCAGCACCCATGTCGCTGGCTCCCTCCAGGCCCCAGTCCCTGCTGGAAGAACCCTTGAGGACTCCCTGGTGGCCAGCACAGCTCCCTCAGAGCCAGGGTCTTGTCTCTGCCTCCTACGAGAGGAGGATGTGCAGGGGTCAGGGTTTTGGCCCCTTTACCTTCGAGCCACCACCCTAAGGGCTCATTTCTGGTCACCAGGGCCAGACTGGAAGGTCTTTTGTCAGGACGGAAGTGGCAGGGTCCCTGGAGGCTCACAGAGGAGACACTCAGGCTATCTGGAGGTGGCAGCATCCGCCTAACAAGCTCATTTCCTATGGGAAGGATGTAGTCAAGGCTCAGTCTCTGGCATGCAGCTCATTACTGCCCATGTGGCAGTGGCCCCGTGAAGAACCTGCCTGCCCCAGGGGCCTTACCGGCTGCCGCAGAGGAAAAGCAGGTTCTGTACAGCAGGGACAGTGGAGCTGGCGTTCTGGCCTGTGACAAGGTGGCGGTCCAGCACAACATGAGTGGCATCAGGCTCACTAGCTGAGTGGGACCAAGGATACCAGCCTCAGGAGATGCCCCTAAGACACCCTCCCACTCCAGAGGGGCTTGAGCTGCAGGCAGACTCCGGTAGTCAACAGGTAGGTCAGCCTAAGAACATGGGTACAGGGGACTTGGGGCTAGGAGGTGGCCTGGCCAGGTCTCCACAGGTTGACCCCCTATAAGAGGGTGAGGGTGGGGGCACCTGCTGGGGCTCACCACTGAAGCTGGCGCCAGAGTCCTTCACAAAGTCTTCCACGATGAGTGGCAGGCGGGCAAAGCCAGGGGCCCTGACGAGCTCACACACTGAGGGCTGTGGGGTAGCTCCATGAGAGGCCTGAACTAGGCCCAGCTGCCCCCAGCACCCACCAGGAACTGAGCCAACCCTGCCCTGAGGCCAAGCCCAGGTGTCAGGAGGTCAAGTCAGCAGGGAACTTCACCCACCAAGTGGGGGCAAAATAGGGGTGTCCCTGCTTATGATACAGGGCTGCAGCCGCTGGGGCCAGAGTCTGCCCATCTTCCCTCTGGGCTGTTCCCCCCAGCATTCAGGCACACAGCTGACCAGAATGAGAGGGTCTGGAGGCCTCGGGGGTGAGCCCCAAGTTGGGCAGAGGGTGGGGACAGGGCACAGGCAGATCTAACCATGAGAGGGATGGTGGCCATTTGGGCGTGGGACGGCAGGTTAGTCTCTCCCCTCAGAGCAGTGGGAACCCACTGAGGAGCCCTGAGCCCCTGCTCACCCAGTTAGGAGCAGAGCCCCCTACTCAGAGCCTTGGCACCAGTTGGTCCCACTGCCCCAGGTTTCCAGAGCCCCGTCCCTGCCTTCAAGCCTCAGATGGACCATAGGCCCTGAGTTTCCAAGGACATGCCCCACAGGCTTTCAGCACACCCTGACTGAGGTCCTGTGGAACTCCCTCCCAAACACCCACTGTCCAGTGGGCCTGGGCTAGGGAGAGGGGCTCTGGAGTTTCCAGCCTCAACCCAGCCTGGGGGAAGGCAAAATAGAGAACCCAGAGACCTCCCCACCATCAACTGCCAAGGTCCCGACTTCCCCGAGCCAGATGAACAGGTGTTCTGAGGAGTGGAGAGCAGTCCTGCCCACATGGGGACAACAGGCCTGGGATCACAGTTTGCTCTGGAGGCCTGACCCACGACATCAGCCTGTCCTCCAGGCACTCACCCCCGTCAAGCTGTAGCCGTGAAACACCCATGATCTGTCCTCGTTGGTGGCACAGCACAGGGCAGCAACTCCATGACCGACAGCACAAATGGGCTCTGAGAGCAGCAGGCATGGCAGCCTGAGGCCCTGGACCCCGTGCCTGGCAACCCCTCCCAGGTGTCCCCAAGGTCCAGGCTGCCTGCCTGGCCACTCTCCACCCTCCTCCCTGGGAATGCCCTGAGCTGGTGCTTTAGCCCTGAACTCTGTTAGCACTGGGACTTGTACTTTTGGCAGCTAAAAACAGGCACAAGGAGCCACAGGCTCCAGGTCTATTCACCAAACCCCAAGACACAGCCACTCCAGGCTACTCCAACCACCCCTGGCTGCTACATGGCAGACACCATGGAGGAGACCCTGTATGGGTGGGAGAGGCACCCTAGGCAGTGCCCAGACCCTGCAGCAGGGTCACTCTGGCTCCTCCCCAAAGGCTGCCTGGCATGAGAACATTCCCATGGCCAAGGGGGCCAGGGACAATGGCTGCCTGTCCAGGCCGTGCTAGAGACAGAGGCCCTGCTCCCACTGAAAAAGGGCACTGTGCAGAAGCCCAGCCTATGTGCTCACTAGGCCTAAGGACCACCACCCAGCAGCACACAGGCTCACCACAGCCCAGCCTGAGCAAGGCAGCTGCCAGGTCTCCTCAGAACAGCCTCTTCCCTAACCCCGGCTTGCCTGGACCCCAACCCTGGCCTGGAGGGTGCACTTTATGAGCAGGAACTGAGCCGACATCCACCTCACCCATGGAGGGCCCAGGCAGGCAAGGCTACCAGCCCTCTCAGGGGCTGGACGAAGCTCACAGGTGACTAGGAGACAAAGTGCATGAGTGACGGCAGAGCAAGCTTGTCCACCCGAGTCACAATCACTGAGGTCTCCACACCTGGCTGGTCTGGCTTGGAAAACCACCTAGCATTTCCAGTGCAAATCCTGAACCCTCCACCATCAATGTCCCTGCCACCAGGTATGTGTCTTCCCTCCTCTTCCACTGGCATAAGACCAATTTCTCAAGAATCTGCACAACCCCAACCACGTCCCATGGTTCACCTACTGCTCTCAGAGTGGAAGTGCTGCAGGATCCGGGCCAAGGACCCACTGCTGGCCAAGTCAACCAGGGCCCCAGGACAGCTGGGGATCAGAAGGGCATGGTACCGGGCACCTGGGAGGAGACCACAGTAGGGAGGCTATACACCAGTCATAGAGTGCCTGCAGGGCCAGAACAGACCTTCCACAGGGGCTGCTTGTGACAGCTGACACTGGTCACTTGTCACTTTTCCTACATGGGCTCAGAAGGGCCACACTACATGCTGATGGGCCGTGCTGAGTTCTCCATCCCCATACACCCACCGTTTCCCAGCGGGAACCCAGCAGCTCTGGGGCCTGGGGACTACCCCATATGGTCACAGTGTTTCATGGCTTCAGGGCCAGAGTCATGGAACTCACTGAGACCCAAAACCCACCTGGAACCCCAGGATATGGGAGGGGGTCCTGGGCCTACCGTCAATAGACTCGAGCTTGGCAGGGCTGGCATGGGCCTTCAGGCGGAAGTCTTGCACCCAGCGGGCGTTGCTCTCTGTCACACCCACAAAGTCCATGGGCTTGCCCTGGACAAGCAAAGCGCTGAGGTGAAGGTCAGCAGGATCAGTCGGAGCCTGGCAACACTGATGGGGAGCGGGGCTATACCCCAACAATGTCCTCTTGGGGTACAAAGGCACCTGATTGCCTAGCCACTTTCGCTGGTTTCCCAGGTGGGGGTCTTCTATGGCCAGGAAAGGATCAATGAGTGGACCTCCACACGTAGGGGCCTGGCATAGCCCCACATCTGAAGGTCACACCCCAGGGTCTCACCACAGCTCCTGCACCACTCTGCTTCCTCCTGGCCCTCAGGCTTCTGTCTGCAGAGTGGCAGTAACTGTCCCACACACCTTGGAAGTGGCCCTGCTCTAACACAGTACAGACGTCTGCACCTGCTCACCCAGGGCTGCCTCACCTTGCCTCACACAGTGCACACCCGCACAAAAGGCCACCCTTCCTATAGGTGGGTGAGAGCCCAAGAAAGGGGACCCACTCCCCCCACAGAACACTGACACTTTTAGCATTGGGGGTGGGGCAGCGGCTGGACTTACCCCAGGGGTGGCCACCTGCAGGTTGAAGGCAGTGCTGGCCATTGTGAAGCAGTGAAGAAAGGACTGGGCTGACACACCTGCAGAAGGTGAATGCAGGAAGGACAGCTGCCCAGATGCCCCCAGGGCCTCCCCTGGTCCCAGAACTATCCTGCAGAACAGACCCTCTCCCCAGCCCCAGGAGCCCACCTATCCAAACCCTAGGGCAGAGACAGTCATCCACTCAGCGCAGGAAGCTAATGCTTGAGGGACGTAGGTCAAAGGGGCACACCAGGTCAGTGCTCTGCCAACTCCAGACCACTCATCCCAAGATTCCCAAGCCAACCAGGGCTGTGCTTCCCCAGGGTGGGCTCTCTTCCAGCCTGGCCCACCTTCCAGCCATCTCCACTGTCCCTACACATATACCCCTACCCCCCTCTCCCCCGGCTCCTCACTTCAACCCACCCTCACACACAGCCTCTCCAAGGAAGCCTTTGCAGTGAGAGTCAGTTACACTTGGCACATCCACTCACTGAACCACCAGGGATGGAGACCCCTAGGCACCAGTCCCCAAACTAGGATAGGCTAGGCTAAGGCAGGGCAGGGCAGTGAGCAGACCACCTCCAAAGAGAGTACAGGTGTGTCCTGACCCTCCTCACAGCGTTCAGGGAGGGCACTCAGGGTCCCTTCCCACAGCTGAGCTCTGGAATTCTGCCCTCCCACTGTTCCAGTCCCCAGTCCATCAAAGGACTCTACAAAAATAAAACAGACCAATTCCACCCCCCACTCCAGAAAGAAGCTCTGGGAGCCCACCAGGGGAAAGGCAGGCCCTGCCCACTCTGAAGCAGGATCCCACTCTGCTGCCTGCCCTTGAGTCCAACAGTGTCATCACTGCTCACTGCAACCTCGAACTCTGGGCTCAAGCCATCCTCCTGCCTCAATCTCCTGAGTAGCTGGGATTACAGGTGCCCACCACCACACCTAGCCAATTCTTTTTTGTTCTTGTGTAGGGACAGAGTTTTGCTCTTGGTCAGGTTGGTCTCAAACTCCTGAGGTCAAGCAATCCTCCGGCCTCCTGCCTCAGCCTCCCAGAGTGCTGTTTCTTTTTTTTTTTTTTTTTTTTTTTTTTTTTTTGAGACAGAGCCTCAAGCTGTCCCCCTGGGTAGAGTGCCGTGGCATTACAGCTCACAGCAACCTCCAACTCCTGGGCTCAAGCGAGTCTCCTGCCTCTGCCTCCCAAGTAGCTGGGACCACAGGCGCCCGCCACAACACCCGGCCATTTTTTTTTTTGGTTGCAGTCATTATTGTTGTTTGGCGGGTCCGGGCTGGGGATTCGAACCCGCCACCTTAGGTGTACGTGGCTGGCGCCTTAGCCGGTTGAGCTATAGGCGCCGAGCCCAGAGTGCTGTTTCTAAAGTGGCATGGTCCACATCTTTCTACATTTATTTATTTAATTTTTTTTTTTTTTTGAGACAGAGTTTTACCCATCAACCCTCGGTAGAGTGCCGTGAAGTCACAGCTCACAGCAACCTCCACCTCCCTGGGCCTAGGTGATTCTCCTGGCTCAGCCTCCCAAGTAGTTGGGACCACAGGTGCCTGCCACAACGCCCGGCCAATCTATTGTTGCAGTTAGCTGGGCTAGAACCCATCACCCTCAGTATGTGGGTCTGGCAATCCACTTACTGAGCCACAGGCGCCGCCCATCTATATTTATTTAATAGAGAATCCAATTCCCTAAATCTCATTTTCATCTTTATTCACTCATAAATTAATACATACTCAGTCTAAAATGTGTATCAAGGAAAAGCAAGTCTCCCAAAACACCCCACAGACTATGCCCTAGGCCCAGTTCCTCCAACTTACTTCCTGGCACCTCCTGAAGTGCCCCAACTACCGTCAACCAGGCCTACTGGCCTTTTCAGACCCACGTTCAGAACGTGCCTTCCCTGGGGCACAGCCCACTTGGCGTGACCCCTCTTTACCCCCACCTGATACCTCTGGAGATAAGCCCCAACCTCTTCTCCAGAACTGAAGGTTAGTTCCCACGGTCCCAAGCGCACCACGCAGAGCCCAGAAGCTCTGCAGGTCTTGGCCTCACAACCCCACGGCCATCTTTTCCTTGCCCACATCGAGGAGCCAGACTCTTGAGCTAAGACTCTTGGGTCGCAACCCCGGCCGGCTCCAACCACCGGGCAGTGTGACCCCAGGCTGGGCCTTCCCCTCAGGCAGGGAGGACAGGAGCGCTGTTGGCAGAGGGCGCGGCTCCCCGACCCCCAGCAGAATCCGCCGCAGCGGCTCCTGACCAGCCACACTGCTTTGAAGGAAGCTCAGGCCACTCTACCCTGGTACCACCCCAGGGCAGGGCCCTAGGGGCACGCGGCTGAGCGTCCTCAGGACTCCCCTCCTGGGGCAGTCTGGTAGGCGTCCGGCACTTAGGGTTCCGAGCCTGGGTCCCGCTGTCACGGCCGCCAGCCGGAGGCCTGGCCCTGCTTAACACGCGCGGGCTCAGCAAGGCCAGGTCCCCAGCCCGCCCGGCCCCGAGCAGGGCTCAACCCCTCGGAACGGCCTAGCCCTTCGGGAGCGCCGCGACCCAGCCCACACTCTCCGCCCCGAGGTGGGGACGCCACCCGGCTCGGTTCCGCCGACAGAAGCGCGGGGGCTCCGGGCCGCTGCTTCCCAGCGATAGAGCCGACCCCGGCCCGCCAGCCGCCCTGGGAGGCTTCTGTTTCTGGCGCCACCGTGACTCCCGCCCCTGGTCCCTGAGCGGACGACCCCGGAGCCCGCCCGGGAAACGACCTCCGCGGACGCTCGAGAGGCACCGGCCGGACCGCTGGGCCCTCACCTTCGGCGGCGCCGCTGGCCACCAGCAGGCAGGCGGGCCGGCTCGGGAGGCGCTCGGACGCCATATCGTGGACACCGCGCTCAGCCTGCGGAGAACGTGGGTTACGTCAACCAGGGGCGGGGCCGCGCGCACGCACCTCCCTGGTTTCCGGGCTCTCCTAGCTGTCCGCGCCCTCGGCAGCGGCAGCTAGGGGCTGCAAAGGGTCTCGGGGCTGCAAAGGGCCTCGGGGCAACCGCGGGTCATCCCATCAGGACGTCCCAGCGGAGTGGACCCCAGCTTGGTCGCCTTGAAGCCTGGAGCACCTCACTTTCCCTCAGGCAGAGGCGCGGCCAGCCTGTGCGGGCGCGGGGCGAGCAGGGACGGAGCGGGCACGCGGAGAGGAGCCGCCTACCCCGGCACCCGGCGTCAGGGGGCGAGCCCCACTGTGCCAGCTCCCGGCGGGGCGCTTGGGTCCGGGACACTGACAGTGCCAGGGCGCAGCGCCCTGCCCTTGGGGCGCACGGGCCTTGGCCCCAGGGAAAATTAACTATCCTTTAGGCGAGAGGGAAGTTCAGAGGCGAGTGCAGTGCCAGGTGGGCCACGTCCGTGGGGCTGGAGGGAGGTGGCCCGAGTAGTGGGTCCCTTGTCAGATGGACCGGGAAGGGACCCTACAGGCATCCAGGGAGGTGGGGTGAGGTAGGTAGGTCTTGCTCCACCAGGCAGTTGAAGGGGACAGGTGTCCATGGTCACTCTGGTTTGAGCTGAGCTCCTGGGAGAATGAAGGTGCCCCTTCCGAGAGAAGGCACCTAAGAGGTAATGGACCACACCCAGCTAGTTTTTCTATTTTTAGTAGAGATAGGGTCTCCCTTTGTTCAAGCAACCCTCCAGTCTCAGCCTCCCAAAGTGCTAGGGTTACAGGCATGAGCCACCACACCCAGCTTGGATCAGATGTTTTTGGGGTTTTTTTTGACAGAGTCTCAAGCTGTCACCCTGGGTAGAGTACCATGGGATCACAGCTCACAGCAACCTCTAACTCTTGAGCTTAAGTGATTCTCTTGCCTCAGCCTCCCAAGTAGCTGGAACTACAGGCGCCTGCCACGTGCCGGGCTATTTTTTTGTTGCAGTTGTCATTGTTGCTTACTTGGTCCCAGGCCAGGCTTGAACCTGCCAGCCTGGGTGCATGTGGCTGGCGCCTTAACCACTGTGCTACGGGCACCAAGCCTGGATCACACTTTTTAAAGCCAAGCCAAAGATTTGCCCTCTCTCTCTCAGGTACAAAATATCTTGAAGTTCCCTGACCTTTCCTAGCTCACAGCAACCTCACACTCCTGGGCTCAAGAGAGCTCCTGCCTCAGCTTCCCATGTAGTTGAGATTACAGGCACCTGCCACAACGCCTGGCTAATTCTTCCATTTTTAGTAGAAAATGAGTCTCACTCTTGCTCGACCTGGTCTCAAACTCCTGAGCTCAAGTGATCTTCCTACTTCAGCCTCCCAAAGTGCTGGAATTATAGGCATGTGCCACTGCACCCTCCTCCAGTTAATTTTTTTATTTTTTGGAGACAGAGCCTCAAGCTGTCACCCTGGGTAGAGTGCTGTGGCATCACAGCTCACAGCAACCTCCAACTCCTGGGCTCAAGGATTCTCTTGCCTC